TAAGGTCTTAATAGTTCATTCATAGCGGATTGAAATGTAGACGGCGCATTAGTTAGCCCAAAGGGCATAACTAAGAACTCGTAATGACCGTCAAATGTGCGAAATGCTGTTTTATGAGTATCTTCTGATGAAACTCGTATTTGATGATATCCTGAGCGTAAATCTATCTTGGTAAATATTGTAGCATTGCCCAACTCATCTAAGAGTTCATCAATAGTTGGAATATGGAAACGATCCTTGATTGTTACTGCGTTTAGGGCGCGATAATCAACACAAAATCGCCAGCTTCCATCCTTTTTCTTAACAAGGAGGATTGGAGAGGAAAAGGGACAGTTACTAGGGATAATAATGCCTTCCCTTAACATATCCTGAATGAGGGATGACATTGCGTCTTTTTGGGAATGTGGGTAGCGGTATGGTTTAACATTAATAGGCGGAGTAGATGGAAGTAGTGGAATACGGTGGTCATAAGGTATTGAGGGTGGAAGGCTTAGGGTTCCATGGAAGACAGTTGGGTATTTCTCAATGAGACTGGCAATGTTAGGATCGAGAGGGGGATTGTTTATTTGAGTAACATCAGGTGGTTCAATTGGTTTTGGTGGGTGAAGTTTGGAATTGGAAGGTATTGATTGGACTGATTGTATGAGCTTGTTTTCTGTTTCAGTAGGTATGAAAGTCATGAGGTAGAGAGAAGCAATGGAGTCTGTATGAATAAGGTGACGAAGCTGGTGGAAGGTTGTTAAGGAGGGTAAAGTTTTTGGGTCGCCTTTGAGGGTAATGAGTGTGTCTTGGTGAGTGAAGGTAATAGAGGGAATGGAAAAATCAGCATTAATGGGTCCTAGAGTGCGTAGCCATGCCATGCCTAAAACAACATCTGCTCCCTCGATAGGTAAAAGGTAGAATGGAAGTGAGTTTGACATTAGGACAAATCCCCTCACATTGGAGATGAGATCCATTTCCAACCATAACTGAAAATTGGGGAATAGGGGTAGTTTGGAGATTAAGGTGGTGAGCAATCCTTGGTTGGAGGATGTTATGAGTGCTTCCGGTATCTACTAAGACCATCACCGGCAGTCCTCCAATCAAGCCTTGAAACTTAAGTGTTTGGGGTGAAAACTGGCCTGTCAAGGCTTGGGGAGATAATTGAAAGTAGGTGTTACTTGAATCTGTTTCAGTAACTTCTTCTTGAGATTCCTCATCTCCTTTGGGAGGATCTGATAGTTCATCTTCAGCAAGAAGTAATAGGAATCTGTTTGAAAGGCATTTGTGACCTGGAATGAATTTTTCATCACAATTAAAGCAAAGTCCTTGGGCTCGGCGTTCCTGCAGTTGGGTATTAGATAAGCGCCAAATAGGAAGTTTTGTAGGTTGGGTGTTGGTAGGTGGTTTGCTGTAAGGTTTGGGAAATTTGTGTTTGGGATCATGTAACTTAGATTCAATGAGTTTTGCTAGACCAATAGCTTGTGAAATAGATGATGGGTGATGAATCGCCATTTCATTCCGGATATCAGCTTTTAATCCGGAAATAAAACAATTTAGAATAGCCTCTTGTGGTAACCCCAGAACTTGGTTCCCTAATTTTTCAAAACGTGTTTGGTAATCAACAACAGATCCATCTTGTTTCAATTTAAATAACTCAGCCTGATGGTTGTCATAAGTAGATGGACCAAAGCGTAATTCCAAAGCCCTTATAAAAGAGAACCAATCTGATAAAAGGTGATTCTGATGCATCCATTTAAACCAAGATAAAGCATCTCCTTTCATATAAAAAGAAATCAAGGATAAACGATTTTCTGGGGGTAAATTGTAAAAACTAAAAAATTGATCCGCTTGAAATAACCATTCCAATGGATTAGAACCGTCAAACATAGCAAGTTCCAGTTTAGGTGTTCGAAAAGGGGGTAAGGGTGGGATGTTAGGGATTTGGTTATAAGGAATTTGGGGCAGATATGGAAAAGGATAGGGTTGGGAAGAAACCATTGGAATAGGAGATGAAAGGTATGGTTGTGGGGTCGGTGCTACAGTAGCACGTGGTTGAACATGAATAGTAGGCTGTTGTGGGGAGTGAGAGAACAAAGGGGAAGGGGAGGGTCGTAATGGGGACTGGGCAGGAGTAAAAGTATGGGTTAATGGTGTGGAAATCAAGGAAATAGGAGGGAAATTTTGGGATATACCTGAGGAGCTTGCTCCTGATGGAACAGTAGCAGGAACAGGGTCTGTTTGCTTAGCAAGTTTGTGAAGAGCATTCATGAGAGATTCATATCTGGAATCCTCAACAGTCTTGTCATTCTCCATTCTTGTATGAATCTATCCCACTTGCTGGGCTAACTGAGCTAGATCTGCAGCATGCTTGTCGAATCGCTCATCCATTTGTGCTTGGGTTTCATTCATCGCATTGTTGAGATGAAAGGTTGAGAGTTGTACAACTTCCTCTATAAGTTCCTTAGAGGAAGGATTAGAGGGTTTGGGGGGAGCCATGGAAGGATTGGAGTTCAAGAATGAAAGCACCAATGATAAATTTACGCTAGAATAAAATCAAACAAGGAAATCAAGGGGAAGATAAACATAAAACAACTTTTCTCTTTTTTTTTTCATATCCTCATAAGAGGCAACATTACAATATAAATACTAGGGTTCTTGTCACATCATGGATCAGCCTAATAATTATGTTAAGCCCATAAAGGATAAAAACGTTAAAGACACCCCTACTTAATAAAAATCTTTAAACCAAAGGGGTTTTTTTCTTTCTCTAACAAGCTTATTGGGCCTGGAACATTCTGGCCTATCACCTTGCCGCTGCCATGTTGTTGTTCCATGTTAAGACTACCATAAACAGCAGTGGAATTATACAGACGCCACATCTTGCTACAACGAGGTCCTTGATGTCGGTCCTTTGGCAGCGGGTGGTTTCGTAAGCAAAGGCGACACCTATAGGGAGATTAGAGAGTTAGCAAGGCCATCCGGGATTTCATCTTAGGGTTTTTCTTATGTACTTTGTTGTTGTTTGAGAGAGAGGGAATGGTGAAGGAGATCATGAAGAGAGAGGTTGTGAACAGGCAGTGAGGCTATTTGCCTGTTGTCCCCTTGTGTGTTTCGCATCCAGATTTTGTGGGTGCGTCCCCAGTTTAGGTTACCATGCGCCTTCAGCACGAACCGTAGATCTGAGGCATCATTGGATCAGACGCCTCTGATTGAAGCTTGACCAGGACTCATCGTACACCCCCACTTCGTGCTGCCTTGAATGTTGTTTTAAAAGTAAAATCGTTTTATTTCAATTTTGTTGTTTTAAAAAATTCTAATTAACTGATAATTTTATTTAAAAATCATATTAATTGATAATTTTGTTTTAAAGATCAAATTATTTTTAATTAAATTCAGTTATAATTATAATTCTAATTGGAAATAAATCAATTGTTAGTAATTATTGTCTTAAATTTGAGATTAATCACTTTTAATCTAAATTCAAATTATATTGTTAATTTTGTCTTAAAAATTCGATGATATTGGTTGTTTTTTTTATTTGAAAACTCATTTATAGTTGTTAGATTTTTGTCTAATAAATTTAATTGTTTTGTTTTATCCTCGATCCAAATTATAATTGATATGAATTATGACTTGAGATCCGTTTATTATTGTTAGTAATTTTGGTACAAAAAAGATTTAATATGAATTCAACTGTAATTATGTGACACTGATGTTTCAATTAATTGTGCGACATTTGAGTAGTAATGTCGATTGAATCACTATTCTTAGAACCGTGGGCTTTAATTTCAAGCATGATTAATTCATGGTCTGATTGTTATTTTCAAATTACGCTGCCGAGTCATTGATGTAACTTCGCTCTTTTCCCTTCGATATTATTTTATACGTCTGTCCAATGGAAGAACCAGTGTATAACTTCTTTAGGTTGTACAAGTTGCATCTCACTTGCATCATTTTTTTCCCCGCTTGATTCTTGATTTCTCAAGTTGATCAGCTAGATCCTTACACCTTAAGATAGGATAGACCTTCTTTAAACTTTCAACTTAGACAAACCTTATTAATACAATTCAATCTTATCCTCCCCACAAGAGAATTAGACGTGATTCATCTTGACAGTCGAGATATAAATCTCCTGTCCCATAATAATATAGAGAGATGTAGAATCTTTTCCGCTTGAGAGAGGTATGTGGCATAGTCGTCGATAAATCCGAGTCTTGAGCCCTTCTCTCAATGCGATGCAAAGACCATCTCCTACAAGTTGTGGTGGTTAAGTCGAGTGTTCTCCCTTAAGATGACGTATCGTCTTTTCTCCTAGAACCAATCAACAAACTTTATCCCCTTAGAACAAGATGTGATTTCTTGACGAGTATACTTAGAAATAAACCCCTAGGTCTTTCACCATTTGCAAACAACAATAACACAATAAACAAGAGGTTCCGGTAGAATACTACATATTCTTAGGATGTTAATACCTTCCCTAAGTTTAACCAATCCCTGAACCTTAGATTCTCTAGCTTTGTATTTGAATTGTATCTTTTGGGTTATTTCGATCTTTTTTTCTTCCCTTGGACAAATTAAAGACCGGTGGTGAATAATGAATTAAGATTTAAATTAATCAATAATTTGATATCCAATTCTCACCACAACAAAAAAAATTGTAGTTAACTCACACCGTAACAACGACAATCCGTATATCACAATATATACCAACCAAAATTATAAAAACCTTTACCGCTGACATAATTTATAATTTAAAACTTAGGTGTATATATAAACAGTTTTGAAAAAGTCTCATGACAACTTTACGTTTCTCAATCAAATAAAACATTAAATAAGATGTATTTTGAAAGTAATATATTAGTCTCTAAACACTAGTATTTAAACAAGAAAAGAAATATTACTTGAGGTATGAATAAAGCACTAGTACTAGTATTAGGAAATTGATGTCTAACCAAACAAGTTAACAGAAATACTTGTATATATTTATGTTCTCCCACCTACAATCATATAACAAATAAATGGCTGGCCCCGAACACAGACTCAACCTTCTCAATGAACACACCGAGAAGCATTTCACCGCCAGCCATGTTGTCCGAGACATCATCATCGGTGTCTCCGACGGACTCACCGCCCCTTTCGCCCTCACTGCCGGCCTCTCTGGCGCCAACGTCACCTCTTCCATAGTCCTCACAGCCGGCATAGCTGAAGTAGCCGCCGGCGCCATCTCCATGGGTCTTGGAGGGTACTCTAATCTTAAACTTGTATATACTATCATAATGTATTTATTAATATGAATTTAAACAAACGTTGCATTTGTGTATTTGCAGTTATTTGGCAGCAAAAAGTGAAGTTGATCACTACAATAGAGAATTGAAAAGGGAACAAGAAGAAATCATTGATGTACCAGAGACTGGTTAGCACTATTTATTTAATTTAAAGAAATAATTTTTTTAGTTTTTTATTTGAAATTTTTATTTTTTTTGTGAGAAAAAATTAGAAGCGGCAGAGGTGGGAAAAATATTGGCTGAATATGGAATACAGAAACATGTATATGAACCTGTGGTGAAGGCTCTCACAAAGAATCCTCAAGCATGGCTTGATTTCATGATGAAGTAAGTCAAGTATTTGAAGATAACTTTCTAAACATGATAGATATAAATCATATAGTAAACATATATCTTGAAGATAAGTATTTGTTTTGTAAAGTGATGGTTAGAGTTAGAGAGACAAAATGGTAAGAGTTGTTAAGAAATGCCTTCATAATTTCTTTTCTATGTGAATTAAGAAATGGGCACTAAGCAAAAACATTAAATAACACAAGAAATTTTGGCATGAAAAATCTTTTGTCATCATATCCGCCACGTTAATTGGTATGAGACTTGTATAAAACTTTTTACACTCATAGGGCATATCAATTAATCTCATGTCATAAAATTTCATTTCATTTCTAAATATAAGTTTGTGAATGTTTGAACAGATTTGAGCTGGGATTAGAGAAGCCAGATCCAAAGAGAGCATTGTATAGCGCAATGACAATTGCCATTGGTTACATATTGGCAGGACTTGTTCCTCTCCTTCCTTACATGTTCATTCAAAACACAAGTCAGGCTGTTATGTTTTCAGTACTTGTTACATTGATTGCATTGCTTATTTTTGGCTTTGTCAAGGGATACTTCACTGGAAATAAACCTATCAAAAGTGCTTTAGAAACTGCTCTTATTGGTGCGATTGCCTCTGCTACTGCTTTTGGTTTGGCAAAGGCTCTCCATACATAGCTTCATGGATACCTCTTTTCAGAACTATTACTTTCTAAATCTTGATTATTTGTTGTCACTTGTGGTTGCAACAATTTTCATTATCTTGTCATATTTTTATTAGCAACTACTTTTTAAACTATTTACTTGTTGGTTTTTTATTTTAAAATATAAACGTATTGTTTTGATATATATATATATATATATATATATATATATATATATATATATATATATATATATATATATATATATATATATATATATATATATATATATATATATATATATATATATTATATATATATATATATATATATATATATATATATATATATATATTATATATATATTATAATTTCATAGGTTTAATTTAACAATATTGGTATTTAGTTTTTTCTTTTCTTATTAAAAAAAATACTTTCACGAATTTTTAAAATTGACAAATCACCCTCTAATTCTTGAATAGGAAATTGTAAGTTCACGAACAACTAGAATGATGCATTAAGTCAAACGAAAGTTAATAGTCCAAAAAAGTTTTTCAAATAGTTTTTAAAAGAATTTATCAAATGAATTAATTGCATACATGATGAACTCAATAATTTGTAAATGAAATATGAGAGAGAGAGAGAGAAGAGAGAGAGAGAGAGAGAGAGAGAGAGAGAGAGAGAGAGAGAGAGAGAGGAGAGGAGAGAGAGAGATGAGAGAGAGAGAGAGAGAGAGAGAGAGAGAGAGAGAGAGAGAGAGAGAGAGAGAGAGAGAGAGAGAGAGAGAAGAGAGAGAGAGAGAGAGAGAGAGAGAGAGAGAAGAGGAGAGAGAGAGAGAGAGGAGAGAAGAGAGAGAGAGAGAGAGAGAGAGAGAGAGAGAGAGAGAGAGAGAGAGAGAGAGAGAGAGAGAGAGAGAGGAGAGATGAGAGAGAGAGAGAGGAGAGGAGAGAGAGGGAGAGTACACAAGAATTTGTTTAGGCAGTTCTCCAATCGGTCTCATTATAAGTACGTTTGTCCTCAATTCGAACTCAAATTAAGATAATGAAATTAACTTTACTTTGCAAATGTGTAGCAATGCAACCCTTACAAACCATATGTTTGATTTTGATCATAACACTTTATCTTCCTTTAATCTGAGCTTGATAAGTCACCTAACAATACTAATTTGAGTCATCGTCTCACGCTACTCCTTTACAAGAACCATCATTCTTCAAAACCTTCACTTGGTTGAATACAAATTGTGAATTGTTGTAACCCAAGATTTACCAATTTGATTCACCGTCTCACGCTACTCCTTTGAAAGATACTTTCGTTTTTCAAATTCTTTATTTGATCGAATCCAAATTGTGTAATCTTGTCCAAAACCTTCAAATCCCCAATTTGATCTTGAAGGAAAACTCCATATTGGTTTTCTTATTTGAAACCCACCAAAAATCTCAACCCAATTAACAATACCACAAGCTAAATTGGACGTTATCAACTTGATTCTAGATGGCACCTAAACAATGAATAATTATGTGTACTTTGTTTGTGTGTGCGCATAAAATCAAGGTTGAAGATGAAGAAGGCTTTTTTATATGTTCCAGGTTTCGTTTATTATTTTCACAAAATTATTGAAAAGAAATGATGCATGTATGAAGTATTTATATGTATGCATGTTTTGAAGCAAAAGGAGTGCAAAAGAATTGAATTTTTGGAAATATACATTGCACGAGCCGACCTGTGTAAGTCATGAGGCAACCTGTAAAGGTCATATATAGATCTGAAAAGGTCATGTGTCGACCTGTACAGGTTATACGTCGACTTGTAGAGATGACACATCTAACAAAGTCTACGGGCTTTAAAATACAGTACATGTTCCGAACTTAAAAACTGATGTGTCGACACATAGAAATATTTGTCTTCTATTGGTCGACCTGAGACATGTATGTGTCGACACACATGTTATTTTTTCCCATAAAGCTTGTTTTTGATGCATGAACCTTTTCCAAAATATTTTTATACTTCCTAATGCTAAGATGCACATTGAGAATCAAAGGATACCGTTCAATATACATCAACGCTAAAGTATCATAATTTTGACATCATGCAAAATACATATAACAAAAAGTTGAACTCTCACACTGCAAGTGACAATTTACAATACCAGAAGACATATTAGGAGCACATTTGAAGCCATTAGAGGCTAGTTCTTCAAGGGATCTCTTATGCACACCTCTTATTGTATTTGGTATTGCAATTTGCATTATGAGTAATTGATTCTCTCTAGGTTAGGTTTTGTTTGATGTACCTATTTTAGTATTGTTGGGACATATGCTTGATTTGTTATTGCATGAATAATTTGAGTTATAATTATATTCAATTGCACATTATTCTTAATGCTTTTTAAGCGAGATACTCTTTTAATGTAATTTTGGACGCATGAGGAAATACTGACCAATAGTCTATGCGTTTGACCTAAGAAAGTTATTGTGCTTACATTGGTTGAATAGGGATAAGAAACCTCGAGTAGCGGCTTAGGAATTAACGTTCATAGGAGGAGGATTCATTATCTCAACATGAAGAAACCTTGACCCAGTTCATAAAGATCACTCAAATCAATTTTCGAAAAATCCACAAGCAGCAAGAAACCTTGCAAAGTGGCATGTAAGCATCCTTCGATGAGAAAACCTAGTATCTAACCAATTAGCATTAAAACTGAGCTCTAGTGGAGAGTTCGATGAGAAAAAATTAGATAGTCCCAGAGATAAGAAAATTAAAAGAGAATTCAAACAGGAACGTGACGTAGTTGATGAAGGAGGAGTTGGAAAATATAAAGAAGAAGAAAAGTGTACAACACCTGATAAATAAATATAAACAAGAATAAAAGAAGTAGAGGTGAAGCATATATTTGGGAAAAGGGAAAGAATGCAAGATGAGGATTATATAGTTTTGGATGAAGCTCCTAATCCAATAATTTATCTAGAAGTAGATATACAACAAAAGGATCTTCAACAATATCCCTAATTATAACAACAAGGCTCATAAAAGAGGAGAAATAGATAAACTATTAGATGAGATTGATGTCTTGTTCAATGATGTCAAGATGAAGAGAATATGGAACAAAAATGTTGAATTTCTAAAAGTGATTGAATACCTACCAAACAAAAGGAAGCAGAAGGATAATGTGTTTTTCGTGTCATATATGCCGCCCTATCACAAAAATTGAAAAGTCAAGCTTAGGACCTTAAAGAAGCGCTTAATGGGAGGCAACCCATCAGATAAGCTTTTATTTCATTTGCAAAATTTAAATTTCAGTTTAATTCAATTAATTATTTATTTTTGTAGCATGTCACATATAGGAGCCGTAGGGACAAATACTTGAGAAAGGGATTGAAAGAAGAAAGGGAGACTAAAAACTCTCTCTAATCCTATTATTATTTTCCTAATCTCTTTACACTTTTTAGTGTTGTTGTTGTTGTTGTTGTTGTTGTTGTTTCAGGAAATAGATCCAAAGTAAAGTCACTCTTCTCGAGCA